ATAGGCCGCAAAGTGAAGGCCATAACAAGAGCTAAGGAAGGCCACTTCATAATACTAAAGGGATCGATACAACAAGAGGATATGACCCTGATAAACATATATGCACCCAATGCAGGAGCACCCAAATACATAAAAAGACTCCAGGAAGATATCAAAGGGGAGATCGACAACAATACAATCATAGAGGGGACTTTAATACATCACTGACATCACTGGATAAATCCTCTAGACAAAAAATCAGCAAAGAAACAGCAATCCTAAATGACTCACTACATCAGATGGACTTGACATCTTCAGAACATTTCACTCCAAAGGCATGGAATATAAATTCTCAAGTGCTCATGGGACACTTTCAAAATAGACCACATATTGGGTCACAAATAAAGTCTCCCCAGATTCAAGACGATTGAAATCATACCAAGCATCTTCTCAGACCACAATGGCATAATATTAGAAATAAACTACAATAAAACAACCCAAAATACTCAAAAAAATAAATAAAAGTGGGTGAACGACATCCAAGCACTTTAACTCCACTGTTCCAGGTAAACTGATATCGTTCAAAAGTTTTTCTTGACACCAACTGTCAATGCCAGAATTTTGTATTCTGTTTTATTAGGATTTAATAACTCATAAAAACTAAAAAAAAAAAAAAACACGATGTAAAAAACGTTATCCAAATATGTAATTCATTTTGAATTTCAAAATATTACTGAATTTACACTAGATGGATAGCCAAAGTGCCTTTCAGATATTGTTCGAAATTAGAATGTTTATTACACAGTGTACTCTGCTGGGGTTCTTGTCCCAGCATCAAGAAGGGTTCAGGGATCTGGAGAAGGCTGTGCGTAGATGTTAAATAAGAGGAGTCCAGAGACTAATAAAGAGTCCGGAGATGAAATATAATTTTGAAAGGCATTTGGGGGTCAGACGAGCTTAGCTAAAGGAGCTAAGATCTAAGGTCTTAAGTCTAAGGCTTTATATTCTCCTCGTTCCCAGGACCCCATGCTTTTTTGTTTTTTAACATACAATCAAACAATTTTCTTTAATAAAGAATTCACATCATGTGTCTAATGTAAAACAAAATGTGGTGGTGTCCAGCCCCAGCGGTCCAGAGGTACTGAGTCGGCGAAGAATGAAGGACACGGAGACAGCGTCCAGATGATCAGCATAGTCAGGTTCTTATTTATTGTCCTGTTACCGCTATATTTATACTATTTGATTCTATAAGCGTGTCTCTATAGTTAGTTACATCATGGTATGTTTTGGGTTGTCCTTTGACCTTTTACAGTTTCTTGTTTTATGTTTATAGTTTCTTATCTGACCTTTGCTAAAAATCTTATCTCTATCTAGCTCTGTTGATTTTAATCTCATCTTTTGTCTATGTTTCTACATTCTATTCTAAAGGTTAGTCTCTGTGCTCCATTATAAGGGCTAATTTGTTATTTCTATTCTAAGGTCACTATTCTACTGCTCTGCTGTTAAGCTATAAGGAAATAATTGAAGGAGATTTTCCTATTCTATGGCCTAAGTAAAGGTTGTGTAGCTTAAGCGTGATTGTTAGTTATGGTGATTAACTGCCTGCCTGGCACTTAGTTTAAGTCTTTGTGTTTGCATGGCTCCCATAAGATTTTTAGATAAGGAGCCTGCCTGCATTGTTGGCAGCAGTATTTCTTTAACTGTTTTGATATTTGTCCTTTTATCCTAGCTGGTGGTCTTCCTTGGGACTGCCCTGTTTCTGTGGGTTTTTAGGGGTATAGGCTTTGGTACTTTCTCTGGTGGGTAAACCCCTGGGGATGTGGGCCTAGCAAGTCCTAAATTTTTTTTTAAATTTGATTTTGATTTTTTTATTTGATTGGTTTTCTAGCTTTTTATAAAATATTTATTTCAGAGAGGGAGAGAGAGACATAAAGAGAGAGAAAGAGAGAAATCAATGATGAGAGAGAATCATGGATCGGCTGCCCCCCTGCACACTCCCTCACTGGGGATCAAGCCCCCAACCCGGGCATGTGCCCTTACGGAAAATGGAGCCATGACTTCCTGGTTCATAGGTCGATGCTCAACCACTGAGCAACTCAGCTGGGCTAACATGTTTCTTAAAAATCACCTCAGTCCTGGCTGGTGTGGCTCAGCTGGTTATGCAGCCTCATGTGCACCAAAAGGTGCTGGTTCCATTCCCATGGCAAGCACATACCCAGTCGGGGCCCATACAGGAGGTGGCGGACTTATTCTCTCATCGTTGATAGTCTCTCCCATCCTCTCTGAAATCAATAGATTTTTTAAAATAAATAAATAAAATAAAATGACTGGGTGAGTTTATTTTCCCGGTCCTTGGCGTCTCTGTCCTGGGGGCGGGCCCGGGGCGGGGCTGCGCGGGTCCCTGCACCTGTCGGCCTCCTGGTGTCCTGTCCATTTGGGGGAAGAGGGCTCTGAGGGCTCTGCATCCGGGAAGACGGGAGACGTGGTGAGGAGGGTGTGTTTTGGGTGGAGGGGCGGCCTTGGGAGCCCCGCTCATCCATCTGGTCCGGGGATTTGGGGAAGGAAGATGGTAGCTCCTGTACCTGAGAAGGAACGCTTGGATGCGCTCCTGTCAGAGGGTCTTGTTCCTGGTTCCGTGTCCGTTCTGAAGACTCCTCAGGTTTGTTTTTGGTGAATTTAGATCTAAGATTTTTAAACCAAATTTGGACGGTGGACTCTGAGACCCCAACTTCCTTAGCAAGTTTCTCCCGGAATTCAATCCCAGAGTACTGGTTGCTGGCAAAGACCATCAGGAGGGTGTAGACTCGGGAGGCCGTGAACCTGGTACTACTCTTGTTTTTTAGATTTGGCATCACCTCCACAGGATGGTCTTGGACCCAATCTTGGCCTTGGCTTCCTCGCAAGTGGTCCTATGGCTCTGATCTTTGA